GACGTCTGGTGTCCAGACAAAAAGCAGGTGTTTGTTAATGTAAGGCTTAGCAGAAATAGGGTTGGTGATTTTAAGTTCAAGTGTATTTATTTTGGAATAATATTGTATCCTGTCTGTTTCGATTCATATTTATGTTCAAAAAACGTTTAGTTTTAGTCTGTTCAATAAATTTTTATCCTGTTCGGCCCGCGACCTAAAGTGTGCTTTGAGTTTTAACCCCCTGTGCGATTGAGTGTGACACCCCTGGTTTAGGATCTCAGTATTTGTACTGTAGTACTGTAAGTGTAAAATGTATAGCATGCTATGGAGGCTTTATATTTTGTAGGCCAGTAACCCACCAGCAGGGTGTTTTGCACAGATGAGAAAAATGTCCATAAGTTGCTTAAAGGATGAGAATGAAATTTAAATATGAGGACAGCAGCAGCACAACTAAGAAAACTGCAGGGCATAATGTTACCTTAGATCCATGTCTGCTGCCATGTGGCATTACAAATACAATACATTACATCCATAGTAATATAAATAAATATTTTATTCCTTTTGCATGTGTTCACACTGGTTGATTTGTGGTCAGTAGTAACTCTTAGAGAATGTTTTTCCAGATCATTTTCTCTTAAATGCAGCGGTGGTGAAACACTTTGCATGGCCTTATGTAAAAATCACGCCTCTAATTTATTTTCAGTCCTGTTTCTACAGCATACAAAAAGCACTGACATGGTTGTACATGCCTCCTATTTGTGTCTTCCCCTGCTGCTCTTTCTTTCTCTTGCCCACCTTCATCATTCATCTCTGCCAGTCCCACTCTGTGCATGTACTGTATATGTGAATGTGTGGTCTTGCTCCTTGTCCTTGCACAGAAGACAAGGACACATTTTTCTCTCTCACACTTAGAACATTTGTTTCTACACTAGACTGAGAAACATATGAATCGTCTTTAATAGGAAGCAGTAAATTCAAGTGTGTACATGTTTGTGTTTATTTGTACATGAAGGAATAGGAAGGGACAAAAACATTTTATTCTGGGTCACGGCTGCTCGTATGAAAACACACATACACTTGTAACCTTCTGCTTAACCCTAATTCCCAGAAGAGCTACACACACACACACAGTGTCCACTTTACAGGTCCCCCGAGTGTCCAGTCACACTGGGCAATATACAGTATCGAACAGGATAGTACATGGAACATGCACATGAATAGGAACAACAGAGTGGCCTTCTTGCTTGTATTCCTTATTGATACAATGTGAACATTTTAGCACTGATTATGGGTCAGGTCCACACAGAAAAAGTGTCTTAAAATGATACATTTAATTTCAGTGTGCAAGAATAAGGTTACACATTACCTACAAAAACAGAAGCTCTATTTATCTAAATCAGATTTTATGTGTAGCTTTCACATTACATGTGTTTCTGTTTTTTGTTTCATCGATTTAAACCACTTTTGGTCCCAGATTACAGTGTCTTCACCAGCTAAAGTAACTGTGTTAAAATGCTGGAAAATGCTCACATTAGAAAGGCAGGTAACTTAGAATTAGCAGTAAGATGGGGTGTGTAATTAAACGAGTTGCCATTCATTTACAATCCAGCACATAATTCAAGCAGCCGTGCACATGAGAAAAGAATGAACTGGCTGTGACTAGTAGCTAGCTCTCCAAACAGCCCCTACACTGCAATTACAGATGAGAGATAGGTGTGTGTATGTTTCTGTGTGTGTGTGTGTGTGTGAACATCCACTAAGTTAATGGCTCTGTGGATGCGAGAGTCTAAATGTGTTCATCTGTAACATTTTATCCTGGTTCACCTCACTCAGCCACTGTCACAAAACAAATGCACACCCAAAAACAAACACCCACAAAGCAGGAAAAAGAGGGAAAGGAGACAGTGGGAAAAGGCAACACAACACAGAGATGGATAGAGAAAATAATCTGCCAGTGTGAGTATTTTCCACAGCAGGGAGTTTCCTCAAAACACTGGAGCTTTTTCAAAAAGTCAGGTAATTTTCCCACATTAAAAAGGCACTGATCCAGTGAGATTCACCATATGAGCAATCACATCCTGATAAAAATTACTATTGCACTTTAAATTCTAACTTCTCAGGAAGCAGAAATCTATATTAGAGATATTGGTAATAATGAAGCAAATCACGGGGGGTGCATCCAAATATCTACTGTTGCATTGCTTAATGAGCTTTGAATCCAGAAGTCAAGTTTAGGAAGATGGGTTTCCATATGACAAGACCACTGGCCACATCTTAGATCAAGGCCTGCATGTGAGAAGCTCATTAACATTTGAATATATTTATTAATAGGATATTTAATTTGATTAATTTAATTTAATGTTTTTATCTCTAGAGTGACTTACAGTAGGAAGGTCATCCTGTAAATATTAACAAGGGCCAGAAATCCAAGTGAAGGCAGAGAACATTTGAGGAATTTTCCACTTTGGTGTCAGTAAAAGTAAGCATAATCAGCTATTTGTGCAGTTATTACTATGCTTGAAAGGTATTGTGGAATTCAATTAATCTGAATTTTATACGAGGCTCTTTTCAGTCTGTTTATCAGCTACAACGTCATTGATTAAAATAAGATGGAGAAGGAGGGGGATCATCATTAGATGTTCATTTATCTCCCCCTTGTGGCCTTTTGCTGCCATTACACCGCAGTTACAGTACAGAGCTCCCTTTAAAAAGTGCAATTTCAGTGATCATAGACGATAAAAATCAAATATCTACAGACTCGGAGACTGGACTGGTTTTGTACATTCACGGTATTCGTTTGAGAATTTTATTCAATTTATTAACGTGTACCAATAACATCATAATAGATTCTCAAGTACTTTAAATGATTTCTTACTTGTAGCATGCCTGGAAAACTATGTTGCTGTTTGCATAATTTCAAACCTTACATTTCGGAAAAATAAGAAAAGTACAATGGAATGCGGCCGATTTTGGATCAGTTCCAATTCGTGGTTTAGCGACCTCAAGAGGTTCTGACGTGGAGAAGGCGAAAAACTTTCAATAGGTTATGGTACACCTTTAGTTGAATAACTTTTCTTCTGTTATTCTAAAACTCAAGAATATTATGATTTCATTAGTATAATAGGATATACAGCCTAGTTAATTAATAATTTTGTGGAGAATATATAGAGATTTGGGATGTGGCCGTGGCTAGTTCCGTTTCCACCAAAACAGGAAGTTTTCAGAGCTTGCAGGCTATCTAGCTTGCTGGGTACATATGGAAATTGTCATGGTTTAGTAAATTTTTTAACCTCGTGGGCAACCTGTCTGTGTAACAAGTGACGCAGGGTTTGCTCATTTGTAATTGTGAGTAAATATATTCATCGGCGTATGTTTGTTGTATATAATTTAAATGTGGGCAGACGTCTGAAGACTACACGACTGGCTAGTTTGTGAGCTAATGCTAACTTGCTAGCTAAACACATTCGTTTCTATCAGGGTGTTGTTTATGCATGGTTTTGGCTCTGAGTTAGTGTGCTTGTTGTAAGCTTTTCGCGTTTACCCCCTACTTAGCAAACCAGACACCGCCGTAACATGAAGTTATGGAGGAGCGAAAACTAAAGAGAAAGAGTCCCAGGACCCCCACAAACACGGCCGCTCCGACCGGTGGGTCTGGTCGGAAGAACAGCGCTTCATCCGGTGGACGGCACGTCTGCTACAGCCATAACATGGGTACTCAGTCCAGCCAAAAGAGCAAGAACAGGAGGTAGCAACTGTACAACCACAATTATTTAATTAATTATAGTCTTACACAGTCTGTGCTTTATCTTGTCAATACATAAAGTGTTTGTGTTATGGTCATATCTGACTATCAGGAACAGTAATCACTCCATTCTGGCTGTTTTGTATTTTCTTTTTCTAGGGTAGTTAAAGATAAACCCAAATATCAAATGGGTTCGGGTGGTAAAACTAATCCGAACCAGGGCCAGGCAGCAACTACCATCCAGCACTCCTTTCTGACCGATGTTTCAGACGTACAGGAGATGGAGAAAGGGCTCCTCAGCCTCCTCAATGACTTCCACTCAGGGGCACTACAAGCATTTGGTATTTTAACACTTCACCTGTGGTGTTTGATAAATATCTTGAGTTGAAAACAGCCCTCTACACATAGACAGCCAGTGAGTTATGTTATGGATTCAGATGACACCTATCTGATAAAGAAAGTCACTTTGGGCTTTTCCCATTTAGGGGTCGCCACACATGTTGACATTTGGCACGTGTTTTACGCCGGATGCCCTTCCTGACGCAACCCTGACCCAGAGAGTGCTGCGCCTTAACCACTAGCCTACCAGGGACTATCTGCTGAAAATGCCAAATAATCTATGGCTCTTAAAATGAACAAATCCCACTGTGTGTTTAGAAGAAATAATGAAATTGTATGAAGGATAGCAGATAAGTGACAAATTGTCAGAGAAATAATGTTTCCTTGTCCCAGGCAATGAGTGCTCCATCAGCCAGATGGAGCACGTGAGAGAGATGCAGGAGAAGCTGGCACGTAAGCACTTTGACCTCTACAGTGAGGTGGATGAAATGCCTGAAGACCAGAGAAAAATGGCCTGTGACACCAACATGGACAAATTACTTCTAAATGTAAGATTGTTACCGTATAATGAATTGTTCATGATTATAACCTTGCTGCACTCAAACATATATAATATTAAAATATGTTTCTCCACAGCTTGAGGAGCTCAGTCTGTCTATGTATCCTTTTGATATTTGATGTTCCCCAGTCATCATACTAGCCCTTAATGCTTTTTAATTGTCTCAAAGTGAAAGGAAAACTTGTTTCTCTTTAAGTTTCCTGTCTGTCCAACACTGTTCAGATTGTTGTCTGTGTTTTTTTTCTTGACCTGTCTCCTCCAGTCAGAAACTGAATCTAGCTGACAGCCAAGAGATCCCAAGGACTGTCAGCATGTGATCCTCACTCTCCACTTTATCTGACCCAACAGTTTATTTTCTGCCACCTTGAGAGGCTGCAACAGATAGAAGAAAGCTTGTAGGCACTTTTTCTGTTAAGTATTATGGCAAAAACTGTTCACCAGCATTCCCTGTCTGCACGGGGGGATGGATGCATTAAATCCCTGATGGGGATGCACCAACAGCCTTATTTTTCACTGCTTCCTGTATACCTACAGTACAGTAGGTTCTAAATACTCTAACTAGTATTGAGAAGAAAATTGTTCTAATCTTGATGTACAAACATTTAGATGGTAGTAATGAACTTGCTGAGATATGGTTGGGCGCCCCCGGCTCCTCCTGATGAGCCAGATGTGTATACTCTTTTCTCTTACAGCAAGTGTTCGGAGCTGTGCATTCTTAAGTTGTCTGGCCTACAGTATTTTGGCCTTGGCGCATCCCTGTCACCATCCTTTTAAAGTCAAGGTATAGTTAATTTACTCATTTACTGTACATTGTTAACCAAAGTCATATTAATATAAAGCACTCACCTTGTTTTGTCACAAGTCCTTCAGTGTTTTTCTGGATTTCTTTAAAAAGAATGCAGACTTGTTTCTTTTGATGTTTTCAGATATGTGAATGTGTAACACGCACTGTTGCACTTTGTCTTAACTATTGTCACAGGAAATCAGTGTCTGTAACATCATAAACTGAAGGGCCAGAGCCAGTCATATCAAAACAGAGATACAGGAATATGTTCAAAATGATTTAACACAGAGCTTTAAACAGAAGCTTAGCTCTTATCCATGACACAATAAAAGCTTTAAAAAATCCTAAATAGATGAAATTATAGGTAACCAACTAAATAAATAACACAAAGTAGATTGACTATAGAAACTGCACTATATATTAGGAGTAAAAAAATGACAGCGGTTTGTGATTTTGCATATGATTTTTTGCTGTGTGCAAGTGGCCTGACATCACCTCTGGCACATTGTTCAGTGCTGAATATATTTGCAGACTGAATAATCCAAATGTTGACGTCACAGCCATGCCTTCATTTTTTAATTAGGCCATTTTTGCCTTATTGGTTTTAATCTTTTAATTGTCCTTCACAGATTCTGTTTTCTGATAATATATTCATTCAGTGCTGCTGTGATTGTGAATCCTGCTTTATTTACTGTTTTAACGGTTTTGTGATTTTATTTTTGACTAATAAATGTGTTGTTTGACTCTATTGGCCAATGTGGTTATTTTGTCTTTAAGAAGGAGGGAATGCTGTCTCAATGTTAAAGTTAATGGAGGAAGTGTCAGAGAAAAATGATAAAATGGCTCAGGATTTTTGGCCTCTCAGAGGATTGTGCTGATGTTTTACTGAATCCATCTTTCTGTTTGGCATATTTGCTTCATTTGGTAATCTAACCCTCAATTCTCAGTTGAACCGTCTCGTGTGCACAACATTTAAGGTGGCTGTTGTGAGCGACCACCTCTTCCTTCAGTCCATATTCAACAAAAGTGTTCTGAACTTGGCCAGGGAGATGACTCTGGATTCATCTTATGTGCTCTATTCAGAATTTGAACTACCATGTGGGTCAGTGTTTCCATCCAAGGTAGATACTACTGCTGTAAGAGCTCTTTGTTCCTTTGGCTACGAGACTGTTGAACCATGATATGAATGTTTGCTGTCTGTTTGTGCACATATGGTCAAAGCACATTATCATCACGGGGACAAAGTATATCTGTATCCTCCTCATGTGCACCCACTGTTGCACAATACAGTTTCTGTTGCATGGCAAGTCAACCAGTAAAGTCAGATGTAAATTTTGGAGGATCTTCCTGCTTTAATTTTGATTTTCTGTGTCTTGGAACCGAACGCTGTAGGAGTTGTATTACATGTATCAATAATGCAGTAACATTTTAGAAGACTTCTCTATATGTAATATTTTCCTCAGTGATTGTGTAGTATTGTGAGTATTAAGTATGGGTGCATTGGGTCACACTGCCCTAGAAATTATTTTACAATAATTAAATGCACCACAATTAGGGCTTCTTTTTAATAAATCTTTATTTACTAAAAGAATTCGACACTTACAGGAAGTTGTATTGGAGGCATGAGCAACACAAAGTGCTGACAACCCGCTGTTTGTCAAGACCACAGACTTCGCCCACTTGTTACTGGAGTGGCCCTATGAAGGAATGCGCTCATTCCTTTGTTGATGCGTCTCTAAGGATACTGGGAGCGGAGCGGCACAGTGGCACAGTGGCAGCCGGCTGTTCAGCATTTCCCTAAAAGTGAACTAAATCTGACGGTTAATGGGAGTCCATCGGTCTAAACAAAACTCGAAGCGTTTTCCTCCTGAATGAATACATGGGGACGAGCCTGAAATCAAGCCTTCACTCGGTGAAGCGGTGGCAGCTCAGCGGAACAGACTATGAGCCGCGCTCCGAAACGTGCTTCAGCACCTGGACCCCTCTGAGCAACAAGACCAGCAACCTGCAGGTCAGACGAGCAAACACCTATTCTGAATGTGGAGCCCCCGGGCTAAACGTTTAGTGGTATTAAATTGATTTTCATCAAGCGCCACTAGATGGCATTACGCACGTGTTTCGATACTTGAATTTCAGGGTTAATTGTTGTTAATTGTGTTGTAAATTGCATATAAAGCCTCAAAAATATTAAGACCACATAATATGATGCATTTTTTAACACATAATAACAGAAATGCTCAGCAATTTGGAACAGATGTGCAAACTGGCGTTAAAGTCCAACTCTTTACCTCCATGCTGCCATTTGTTCAATTAAAGTTTAAAGCTTGTCAGGTAAATGAATTATTTTACATTGCACCTTACTGTTTGAATTTGTACAAAAGTGACTTTGAGCATGTAGGTCAAAACTTGAATTTATTAGTATAAAGGCTACTCCTGCCCTATTTCCTCCTTCACCAGTGCCTTGGATGCCAGTTTGTACTCTAGCTTTTGGCAGAGCAACAGGCTCTTATGGAGATGCACTTACTTGTGTTTTTAACTGACCGAGGTGCGTTGGTGTCCTTTCCTGTTTGCTTCCAGTTATTTAAGGAGAGGGTGAACCTTGTGCTCCACTGGTTTGATCTGTGGTCTGACCAGCAGAGGAAACACTTGCTGCACTCTCTGCTCACATGCTGCACCAAGTCACAACTCAAGTAAGGTCATTCCTACCCATTTTTCTATCAGTATTTACTGTATACCATAACTGTGTTAGCCAAATTTCAGACTTTTTTGTTGAGAATTTCTCTTCATTGCTCCCTTTTCTCAATTGGAGACAAAAGCTTTTTTATTTAAGATTTATGGGATTTAAAATGAAAACCTTTCGAAATCTGAGCAGGTACTGTAGGGATTTGCTGATCGAGACAGTTCCCGTGACTCAAGTGGACTTCACGGTGGTGTTGCCTCGGTTTCTGTCCTTGTATGTGATGTCATTTCTGACCCCTCGTGACCTTTGCCGTGCTGCTCAAGTCAACTGGCACTGGAGGGTCCTTGCTGAACAGGTGAGAATCCTATAAAAAAGCGAGATTTGCATTTTTGTTGCAGGCCAATGGATCAGGTTTTAATGAAAAGAGTGAAACCTTATTTGGCTCCCTCTCTCAGGACTGTCTCTGGGTGGGAACCACTATATCTCCTGTGTCTCCACATTGGACTGGCTCACTCCTCGGGAGGCAGCCGAGCAGTATGGGACCCTCAACCAACACAGCACAGGAATTACAGAGGAGGAGGAAGAGAGGAGGAAGGAGAGAAGGATCAGGCAGATCATCAGAGACAAACTTCAGGAAGAGAAAAGTGAGTATAAAAGAAACCACAAGCTCTGAAAATAAAACTTTTTTGAGGTGTCCCCAAGGATGTAGGATTACCTACTAGATTATCTTGACTCTTGTTTTGCTTTTGCTGCTCTCTTTAATTATAGTGTAAAATGAAATTGAAATACCTTGAGAAACACTGATCACAGTAGATAACTGAAGACAGATTCTCCCTCCTTTCTCCTATGCTTCATTCTCCAGCTGTTTTATGATCTGCTTATCTGAAATGGCTACTGAATGTATCAGTAAAAATGTATATTTTGCCTTTTCCCCTTATATCTGTGATATTTGCAGAAATGTCTATGAGAACCAGGAAAGCTTGGGGAAGCTACACAAAGCCAGAAGGAGTCAGAGGTGGAAGTACCCAAACAGGGAAGTCCAGCTCTGGGACAACACTCAGCTCTTGGCCCTCCCTCTCCTGGTCTTCAAGGCCTGTTGGGTCTTCCAGCCTCTATCTTAGCCTGGACAAGGGACAGTCCATGAGTGCAGCTGAAAGCATGGAGGGGGTCCGGGCCTCTACTTCATTCAGGTGATTGTCTACAGCTGTTGGGTTGTGTTTTTAGATACAATGATCTACCACTTTATAAGATAATACCTGTGTAACATAGCTAGGGCTTATAATGTTTAGCTTGTGTTGATTGATGTGTCAAAGATGTGTTGATTATTGGCTCCACCTTTGTACAATGATTAAAAACTTGGTCCATGATTGAACTTAATTGCAAATCTTTATTGTAGACATTGCCATGGGTACATACTGTAGATACTGTTGTATGAAGGCCACGAAGGCCATGATATGCTAACCCCTGGACATAGGAATAAAGCTTAACCTCTCACACTAAGTTGGCATATTTGAAACGTATTAAAGCTCCAAACACTGCTTGAGGTTTTATGACGGAGATATTCACTCAGTAATTAACTACCATGAACCTGCGAACAAAGTTCCCTCAGACCTCCCTCTTACATGTTATTAATTCAGGATAAGATCCCCAAACCTCCCAAATAACAACAATCTGCAGTTATTGTTGCAGCTACCTCCTTAAACCCTCAGATGTTACTGTACTGGGAAATTTTTATAAACCAGTACACTCTGGCTCTTTGAGGAAGTGTTAAATTTAGTCTGAAATAACAATGAAAACTGTGTCACTGGACACTTAATACCATATTTGTTTTGCACAGTATTTAGCTGACATAAGATGTTATTAAGGATAGGATGTTTAAAGAATAGTGTGTATTATGTAACAAGTAAACAGTTGGATATTTTCGATAAACCCTTTTCTGATGTAACTGTCTAAAATCATTTTAGTAGTTCAATATTGGCCTACTGTCAACCCTGTGAACTGTTATGCAACCTCAAACATTCACTAGGAATTAGGTAATCACATTCACTGTGAATTGTGCAATATGTGCAACTTTAACAATTACCATTTAAAAGTGTAAACCCGCTAAAATTATAAGAATCAGTATCATTGATTTTATATAAAAGCTTAACAGAGCTACAGCAAAGCAGCAAGCAATAAAATATAAACCTTAAAATCATCAATAATTATCTTGATTGGCTTACAACCTAAATAATCAACAAATGCTATCTCTAAACATCACTCTAACATATTATACTGATTAAAATTATTATGGTTGAGCTAAGCTCTTGATCTGAATAAAAGTCAAAGGTCTCACGTCACCGATCCTCAGCTGGCTCTGGGTGGGGTGGTGGCAGGTTGGGCAATCGTTGGTTCCTCTTTTTCCTTTTGGCCATGATTCAAGCTTTCACAAGGAGAAACTTAACAATTAGAAAAATTAAAACTCATCAGGACAACCTCTTTCTCCTCTGGTTCAATTTTCTAAACTCTGGGAGAGAATTATTGGAAATTCTCAGATAGAGAATGTTCTTCTTGGTCAAATCTTCTTTCTTCTGAGAAACATAAAGACATGAAAATGTCTAAAATGGTTTTCTTTTCAAGCCATCTTTCCCCACCAGGCCGGGTGGATTGTGGCATTCTGTTCAAATTCTTCTTCTTCAGTCATCTTTTAAGCAAGAATTCAGTTTTCCCGCTGAACTGTGAGGCTCCACCACTGCTCCATCGTACCACAGCTCGTCCCCTGTTGACATCTATTCCATCCATCCAATAAACACCCACAGAAAGGTGTTCTTTCTCCCACATCGACATCCATCTCACCCTCACAAGCTCGGTGCTGGTAGGGCAAGCCCACAGAAAGGTGCTCTCTCTCTCCCATGTCTACATCCCTTTCCCCATCACAGGCCAGGTGCCTGTGGGGGAGCACCCCCAGCGGGGTGCTCTTCCTGGACTGCCTCTCCGCAGTCTTTGGTCTTCTGGAAGTCAAACGGTCAACCGGACAGAGCCTATCAGTACTTAGTAACACCTCCTCTGGCAGATATCACAGCTTGCAAACGCTTTTCATAGCCAGCTAAAAGTCTTTCAATTCTTGTACTTGGGATCTTCTCCCATTCTTCCTTGCAAAAGGCTTCTAGTTCTGTAATATTCTTTGGTCGTCTTGCATGCACAGCTCTTTTAAGATCTACCCACAAATTTTCAATGATGTTTAAATCAGGGGACTGTGATGGCCATTCCAAAACCTTCAGCCTGCGTCTCTTGAGGTATTCCATAGTGGATTTCGAGGTATGTTTAGGATCATTGTCCTGTTGTAGAAGCCATCCTCTTTTCAGCTTCAGCTTTTTTACAGATGGTGTGATGTTTGCTTCCAGAATTTGCTGGTATTTAGTGGAATCCATTCTTCCCTCCACCCGTGCAATGTTTCCTGTGCCACTGGCTGCAACACAACCCCAGAGCATGATAGATCCACCCCCATGCTTAATAGTTGGCAAGGTGTTCTTTTCATGAAATGCTGCTCCTTTTTTTCTCCAAACATGCCTTTGCTGATTGTGTCCAAAGAGTTCTATTTTAACTTCATCAGTCCACAGCACTTGTTTCCAAAACGCATCGGGCTTCTGTAGATGTCCTGTTGCATACTTCAGACGTTGGATTTTATGATGGGGACGCAGATAAGGTTTTCTTCTGCTGACTCTTCCATGAAGGCCTTGTCTGTGCAAGCATCGCTGCACAGTGGAACGGTGCACCACCACTCCTGAGTCTGCTAAATCTTCCTGCAGGTTTTTTGCAGTCAAATGGGGGTTTTGATTTGTCTTTCTGACCAGCATACGAGCAGTTCTGTCCGAGAGTTTTCTTGGTCTTCCAGATCTCATCTTGACCTCCACAGTTCCCCTGATCTGCCATCTCTTAATTACATTTCTTACTGTGGAAACTGCAAGCTGACAACGCTTTGCTATCTTCTTGTAGCCTTCTCCTGCATTGTGGGCATCAATAACTTTCATTTTCAGGGTCTTACACAGCTGCTTAGAGGAACCCATGGTTGCTGGGTGTCCACAAGTGTGTGCACAAGGTTTGAAGAGTCAAAGTATTTGTACAGCTTTGAAATTGGCATTTACCAATGACAGCTGTTGCTGTGCATCAGATCTAACGAGCTGATTAAGGTCTGATACCTTGTGAGAGACTTTGAGACTCTGGAACTCTTAGGGTGCCCAAACTTTTGCACCATGCCATAATCATGTTTTTATTTTTTATTTTTGTTCAATTTATGGCATAAGAAGTAACTATGCATCACTGTTTGCAGAAAATATTGTGCATTTTTTCCATTTCCAAGAGAAACTGTGTTAACATCTGTTCAAATAAAAAATCACCAAAATCTGTTATTTATCAAGGGGTGCCTAAACTTTTGCATAAGACTGTATTTCTTATCTAGAGCTCCACAGGCTTGGAGCAGCTGCATGTTACCTAGTCATAACAAAATGAGGTAGCTTGATGTGTGTGGATGTTGTTACGTGGTGTGTAACTAAAACAATCATTCAGACACAAATCTAACATAAGATTAATAGAAGAAAACAATTGGTGTCATGCTTACTGCTAACCTTGAAACAGAGCAGACTAGAGCAGACTTTGAATCTTACTAAACTACATTACTAACACATTAAAGTCTAACACATTAATGTCTAATAATTATCTGACTGATTTATTAATTTCTAACACTTGAAACCATCATTTTTACTTCCTTAATAAGCTGTGTGTCTTTTCTCTATGTCACATACACACACTTCTGCAGTTCCTCTATTCAGGGATGTGTGTCTACCTCCTCTTTTCTGTGATTCTGCCTTTTTTCACTCCTTTAGATGTAAAATCACTTCTCCCAATTCTTTCAATACAATCATTTCACATTTTATTCTTACACATTTACTAATGATTATTTCAAACACAACATACACATAAATCATCTTATGATCATCCTTACTTATTAAAAGCTTAAATTTCTAAGCATTCTGCCACAGCATTTTAATAATAATTTCTCTCTTTCCTCCAGCCACTTCTGCCGTTTTCTCTGCCTCTGTTTCCTCTGTTTCTTGGTTCTCTCTGGGACCCGTAGTTACAGCTTCGCTGACACTGTGCTAAACTGTATTTCGTTGCCTTGCACTTGTACATGGGTAATGACAATAAAGTTGAATCTAATCTAATCTTAGTAGGGGTGAGCTTCATAAGGCTATTTGTATTAAGTTGTGATTTACTGTTGAAACCTAACTGTATATTCTCTTTCAGTGAAAGACTGAACAAAGCCAGTGGAGCGCTGTCCTCATTCACCAGCAGACCACAACACAAAGTCTCAGCCATCTATCACGCCACTCCTGCCCTCGTATTTCTGATCTCCAATAAAATTCCTGCTTATGAGGTAAAGGGTGTCGTCAGTGTGTCAGCCCACTGCTCAGTCTCTTTCGTATGGCAAGAAGAAAATAGGGAGGAAGAAACCACTGTGGATATGGAATTAAAAATTGCAACTGGGAAGATAAAACAAATTTTCCCTTTCTCCTCTTTCTTTTTCTCTGCATACTAAATCCAGTTGCTGCTGAGCGGGGTGAAGGCAGGAGTAACTGTGGTTCTGTATGACCACAGAGGGACTCTCTCAACACTGTTAAACCAGGTGGAGAGGGCTGTTTCTGGGCAGAGAGCTCAGAGGCTGGGGCTGCTAGCTCCAGGAGGAACAGAGGAAGTCCATCTACTTCAAGGTGAGAAATAATAATGTGTGAAAACGCTGCTAGAGTTAGGTTCAGACCAACATATGATAGTGCCATCTTTAAAACCATGGCTGTCCTTTCCCATGGCTAAACTATATCATCCATACATTTTACATTATATTTTCAGGGCTCCAGACTAACATTTCATACTGTGGGCACTGGTGCCACCTCCTGAGACACTTGGTGGCACCAGTGCCAGATTTGGTGACACCAAGTCTGTTCTACAGAATACTGTAAAAGAATCTGTATTTTTCATAAATTAAATTAAACAACCTTAAACTGAAAAAAACTAATCAACTGGACTAGATTTCTAAGTCGAAGACATTTCACCTCTCATCCAAGAGGCTTCATCAGCTCTGACTGACTGGTGTTGAGCCGGACATATTTATCCACCTCGGTGTTTCAGTCCTTTGAAGGCCAACGATTTCTCCTAACGACTGAGTCATTATAGCCCAGTGTCGGTGAGAGTCGTTACCTATTGTCCTGGTGGGCATTTTTGGGCAGAGATCTCAAAACAGGATTGTAGATGGAAGAGAAGTTGTGTCTTAGTCCACCACCCCTATTTAGTGAGGGGTGTTCTATTTTTACAAAAATAGCTTCCTTAACTCCTCTCTCAAACCAGCGATGTTCTCTGGAGAGGATCTGGACTTCACTGTCCTCAAAAGAATGTCCTTTGTCCTTCTGGTGGAGGTGGACTGCTGACTCTGGTCCACTGGAGTTGGCCCTC